TAAAATTTAAAAGAATTAAAAAGTAAGACGGAGAATAGGATAGCAGATGAAAAAGGGAGGCTTAGGAAAGGTAGGGGGTGTGTGGACCAGGTGTTTTACAGTGAAACATATAAGTGAACAGTATTTAGATAAGGCTAAAGAGGTCTTTGTGGCATTTATGGATTTGGAAAAGGCGTTGACAGGGTTGGCTAGGGGGGCAGTGTGGCAGATGTTGCAAGTGATGGTGTAGGAGGTAGGTTTACTGAAAGCAGTGAAGAGTTTTTACGTGGATATGAGGCTCAAGTTAGAGTATGTAGGAAAGAGGGAAATTTTTTCCCAGTAAAAGTAGGCCTTAGACAGGGATGTGTGATGTCACCGTGGTTGTTTAATATATTTATGGATGGGGTTGTAAGAGAAGTAAATGCGAGGGTCTTGGCAAGAGGCTTTGGAGTTAAAAGATAAAGAATCACACAAAAAGTGGGAGTTGTCACAGCTCCCTCTTTGCTGATGACACTGTGCTCTTGGGAGATTCTGAAGAGAAGCGGCAGAGATTGGTGGATGAATTTGGTAGGGTGTGCAAAAGAAGAAAATTAAAGGTGAATACAGGAAAGAGTAAGGTTATGAGGATAACCAAAAGATTAGGTGATGAAAGATTGAATATCAGATTGGAGGGAGAGAGTATGGAGGGGTGAACGTATTCAGATATTTGGGATGGACGGTCAGCGAGGGGTCTATAAAAGATGAGGTGAATCATAGAATTGATGAGGAAAAGAGTGAGTGGTCCTTAGGAGTCTGTGGAGACAAAGAACTTTGTCCTTGGAGGCAAAGGGGGAATGTATGAGAGTATAGTTTTACCAACACTCTTATAGGGGTTTGTGAAGCATGGGTGATGTGTTGCAGCGAGGAGAAGGCTGGAGGCAGTGGAGAATGTCATGTCTGAGGGCAATGTGTGGTTTGAAATAATGCAGAGAATTCGTAGTTTGGAAGTTAGGAGGAGGTGCGGGATTACCAAAACTGTTGTCCAGAGGGCTGAGGAAGGGTTGTTGGAGGTGGTTCGGACATGTAGAGAGAATGGAGCGAAACAGAATGACTTCAAGAGTGTATCAGTCTGTAGTGGAAGGAAGGCGGGGTAGGGGTCAGCCTAGGAAGGGTTGGAGGGAGGGGGTAAAGGAGGTTTTGTGTGCGAGGGGCTTGGACTTCCAGCAGGCATGTGTGAGCGTGTTTGATAGGAGTGAATGGAGACAAATGTTTTTAATACTTGACGTGCTGTTGGAGTGTGAGCAAAGAAACCCATTTATGAAGGGAAATTCAGGGAAACCGGCAGGCCGGACTTGAGTCCTGGAGATGGGAAGTACAGTGCCTGCACTCTGAAGGAGGGGTGTTAATGTTGCAGTTTAAAAACGTAGTGTAAAGCACCTTCTGGCAAGACAGTGATGGAGTGAATGATGGGGGAAAGTTTTTCTTTTTCGGGCCACCCTGCCTTGGTGGGAATCGGCCAGTGTGATAATAAAAAAAAAAAAAATAAATAATAATAAAAAATAAGAAACAGTAATGTGTGTGTGGGTATTTTGTATATTATGAAGGTTCAAATCTTCAAAGAGTAGGGCTGTGCTGTCTGAAATCAAAATGAGTGATTGTTCTAATGACAGAATTTTGCAGGATTACAATTGGCTTTAGATGATTGTGTTGTAGATTCCCATGCATATGTACTGTAGGGGAGGTAAGGGCACATTAAAGAGTAGGACAAAGTAAGTACCATTGGTTGTGGTACATAGCATATTCTGGAAAGAATGCTCAACGTTTCAGAAACCTTTTTGTGTCAAATGTACTAGTAGTGGGTGAAGACTGTGTCCAACGTAATAGTAAGTACAATTTTCATCCCTTTTAAAACACACTACCTGCCAATTTTTTTTGACCTCAGCTAAACTGCTTGGGTCTTCTACAACTTCCTTATGCGTTTGAAAAAATCTAGGACCAGGTAGTCCACCAGTGTATAAATGGGATAACACTACCTAACTAGAATCAGTAAACAATGCAATCGGGACCTGTTCCCCCACCACCAGCTTCCCTACCAGTAAACACCGTGAACTGTCAGAAGATGCCTTATACGTTGCCCAATTTATTACAATTTCATGATACTAACAGAGGAATTCAGCCAATAAGCACACTATGTAGATTTAACCTAGGATACCCAATAAAAACAAGTAATGTGGACTTATTTCCATGTTTCTATGAATATTTCAACCTGAAAACAATTGTAATACAATAAAAATTTACAGTACCTTGTAAATAAAGTTTTACAGTGGGCTGGAAGTACCCCAGGTGTGACCTATTTCCATGTTCTGAGGAGTATTAAGCCTTGAAACAATTGAAATATCACAGGTATTCCTTGTATATAGTGTTAGAAGACTAAAAGCAGAAAAAAGGGAAGAAACTATTTTTTTTTTTTAAACCCACATGGGGCCGCCTCCCACCAAGGCAGGGTGGCCGGGGAAAAAAGGAAAACTTTCATCATTCACTCCATCACTGTCCTGCCAGAGGTGCACTCACACTACAGCTATAAAACTGCAACATTAACACCCCTCCTTCAGAATGCAGGCACTGAAACTTCTCATCTCCAGGACTAAAGTCTGGCCTGCTGGTTTTCCTGAATCCCTTCATAAATGTTACCTTGCTCATAATACAACAGCACGTCAATCCTAAAAACCATTTGCCTCATTCACTCCTATCTAACACACTCATGCATGCTTGCTGGAAGTCCAGTCCCCTCTGACACAAAAACCTCCTTTACCCCCTCGCTCCAACCTTTCCTAAGCCAACCCCAACCCTGCCTTCCCTCCACTACAGATTTATTCACTCTCAAGTCATTCTAATTTTTTCCCAAATCCCGCTACATGTCTGAACCACCTCGACAACCCCTCCTCAGCCCTTTGGATAATAATTGTGGTAATCCCGCACCTCCTCTAATTTCCAAACTACGAATTCTCTGCATTTATATTCACACCACACATTGCCCTCAACATGCCCATCTCCACTGCCTCCAGCCTTCTCCTTGTTGCAACATTAATCACCCATGTTTCAACCCATGAAAGAGAAAAATTTACATACAAAAATAAAAAAAAAGGTTTGCAGCGTGTGTAAAAACACTCCTGGACTCGTCAAGTATGTAAAAAGAACGGGGAAAGTCACGCAGAGAATATGGTTATTTCAATTTGAAAGTTTAACCCTTGGGGGTCGCCAGGCCCTCTCAGAGACTTGTTCTCAGGGTCGCCAAAATTTCAAAAAAAAAAAAAATTACTTTTTCTCATGAAAAGATAGAGAATCTTTTCCTGATCATAATGACACCAAAAGTATGAAATTTGATGGAATGTAGACAGCCTGTACTGTCAGACCCACACAGCCTAGCCGTCTGCTCTGACTAGTTCATTTTTCGCGGCATTCAGGTGCTGCCCTCTGTGGGCTTACCTAGGTCAGTGGGAGGCACACCCCCACCCTCTCTCACTCCTAGGCCGACCGACTTGATAACACAAGTGCCCCTCCACGGACTGGCTAACGGTCACTCCCTCAAAACTGCCCGTTGTGTACTCACTCCTATCCAATTAAAGCCAAACTAGTCCACGGCCGTATCATTGCTACCTACGCTACCTTCATCGGCACTAAACCGTTGTTCAGCAGTAAGAACAGTAATAACAGAAAAACTTATGGAATTATGCTTTCGCGAAGTTAGCGGTCTCGACGATGTTCACGCATCGGCGATTTTCCCCACTTTGACCCCTATTTTCGGCCAATTCCAGTGTACTAGTCGACAAAAATCATAACTATTTCGCTAGAACTCTGTTTTTTCCATCGAATAAATACAAGAAACCACCCATTTACCGATTTCAACTATCCAATAAAGTGGTCAGAATTAAGCCAATTTCACACAAATTTCAAAAGATCCCAAATTTCCAAATAGGGTCCAGAATAAACAAGAAAGACATTCCTGGCACTAAAATAACATTTACTCTGTTCATTAGTCACGTCCCCAGGCCTCTCTTACAATTTCTTTTGCTTTCCACTTTGATTTTTTCTCACAAAAATAATAAGATTTACTGTTATGCAACTACTGCATTAGTGCAGAAATGGCAAAAATAATATCAGCGTACTTGTGAAAGAATATTAGACACACCAGTTGACGTGTATTGGACGCTTAGCATGATTTATTTACTTTGAACTTTGGTAAAAATCGAACATTTCTCCTACTTTGAGCTCAATTTCAAGGTACTTTTCATTGTAAAACCAGTCAAAATCATCTCCATTTCTGTAACTGTCTTCCATTCCCATACAATGAGACCCCGGAAAACTAGAATACAACAATAAGTACCATACAAAAATACAGTGCAAAGTCGCTGTTTTAAACCAAAAGCATGGTCAATGTTTTTTTTTTCTCATTATTATCTGGAGTTTATCTGGAGAGAGTTCCGGGGGTCAACCCCCGCGGGCCCGGTCTGTTTACCAGGCTCCTTAGGTCAGTGTCCCCCGGATGCGACCCACACCCGTCGACTAACACCCAGGTACCCATTTTTCTGATGGGGAACATAGACAACAGGTGGAAAGAAACACGTCCAATGTTTCTACTCTGGCTGGGGAAACGAACCCAGGCCCTCACCGTGTGAAGCGAGAGCGTTAACCACCAGGCCATTACTCACTGTGTGCTGCAGGATTTTTTTTATACTGCACACACTGGACACATAGACCCATTCTTTCAAATGTAGGCCTACCAGCTTTCTCTTGCTAGATTTGAGGACGCTAGAATTTATGCGTACTAGTACGTCAAAAACCCTGGCGCATAAAACCCTACTAGTACTGCCGAAACCCTGAAAGGGTTTTAAAAGGGAAAAAGTACTGTATAAGACAGCTTAAAAGTAAAATAAAGTGTGTTAAGGTTTTCAACTTTCTGGCAAAGCTTTCAGAAAGTTTAGACTACTATACCTGGAGTATACCTGGAGAGGGTTTCAGGGATCTATGCCCCCACAGTCTGGTCTGTGACCAGGCCTCACGGTTTTTATAAACACTGTATTATTTACATGCCTTGCAGAAGAGCTGCTGCTGTTGAAGAATTGACACAGTTTCTTTTTTCTGGCCTGTTTATGCCAATCATTGTTATTTTTGGCAGATGTTCAACTATAACAGTACCTGAAATATTGAAAAAACTAAATGTTTTAAGTTTTTATAACCCTGCATGTATATCAGACAAACAATTGTCAATGACTAGAATTTACAGAAAAGAGTTGGGGTTTTAAAAACCCCCTCAAGCCATTGCTAAAAAATAGCAGGCAATCGCACCATGTCTAATAATTCATTTACCAAGGTGTTATGTCTATACACATAAGAGGTTTTTACAGACAAATCTCACAGTGACAAGTCTGTGGCAAGATCAGCTCAAGTTCCATCAAAGTCATTATGAATAACTTGCATACTAGAACTAGAAAAGGTACTGGGTTGGGCTGCATTGGTAAGACATTGATAAGACCTGCTTATTAATGTTTTTAGAATAAAGCTAAAAATAACAGTGGACCCCGGTTAACGATTAATTTTTCACTCCAGAAGTATGTTCAGGTGCCAGTTTCTGACAAATTTGTTCCCCTAAGAAATATTGTGAAGTAGATTAGTCCATTTCAGACCCCCAAACATACACGTACAAACGCACTTACAAAAAATACACTTACATAATTGGTCACATTCGGAGGTAATCGTTATGCGGGGTCCACTGTATACAACTAAACATTAAGATAAATAATACATACAGTGGTACCTTGACTTACAAAGTGTCCCAATTTACAAGTTTCCGAGTTATGAGCCGTCGCTCGGTTTTATTTTTGCTTTGAGTTGCAAGCCAAAATCCGAGTTACAAGCGAGCTTCAGATACACCGCCATTTGCAGGAGAAAACCCAGGAAATATCAAAAGCCTCGAAAAAACCAATGTGTAACATCCTTTCAATTTTGATACCACTGGAATGTTATCCTGCCAGAATGTTCTGTAACATTTCCCTAAGTAAAGAGAAACGATTTGGAACATGTGTAATACATGTTCGGCAGGCCCGCTGGTTGGGTGGGCCAGCTGACTGGCCGACTGGCTGATTTGCTTTGGCTGTCTCTATCTCCTGTCTGTCTGTTACCCATCTTTGTCTTTGTCTATCTGTGTCTCTATCTCTGTCTCTGTCTATGTCTGTCTATCTCTGTCTCTATCCACAGGTACACATAAATACGTTATACAGTACATAGTGTAAATTACCTAGGAAAATCCAAAAAATCCAGACAAAGTGCTATACTACGTTTGTAGATATAAGGCATAATAAACAAAGACTGGCAAGTAATACACATTTTCACTTGTTCAGGAATTAGACGTGATGATTCGCATATGTATAGTACCTGTTTGGGTTTAGAGTGGCTCTCTCTCTGATACAGAGACAAATAGAGAAACAGGAAGACAGAAAGACAGATGAGCAGAGACAGAGATAAACATAGACAGAGCTAGACAGACAAATAGACAGACAAAAACAAACAGATAGACAGACATGTTTATGTGTAACAGTGAAAAATAAAGCCAAGGCAGTGCACCCAAACATCAAATGGGCACTCCACTGCTGTATTGTCAGGAGTGGAGTGACACTCATCTTACACCGTGCTTCAAGGAGTTTCATATATACTCCACCATTTCTAAAACATTGCTGGGACCTGGCAAAAAATGCAAACATTATCTCTTTTTTATAAACACATTTTTCTTATTTAAAAACCTGTAACAAAAAAACTGGGGTTGTCTTTTGGGGGCCGGAATGGATTAATTGCATTTCAATTTATTTCAATGAGGAAATTAGATTAGATACATGAGCAAATTGAGTTATGAGCTCGATCATGGAACGAATTAAACTCATAAGTCAAGGTACCACTGTACACTGAAAGACAAGACAAAGGAAAATTCTTGAGTGTTCACCCTGACAGCAATCTAAAATGTAACAAATATATTCAGCTCATATTTAAGAAAGTTTCCAAAATGGCGGGCATTCTTTTCAAAGCATGTTACTTAAAAAAAAAAAAAAAGGCCATTTCCCACCAAGGCTGGGTAACCCGAAAAAGAAGAAACACTTCCATCATCACTCACTCCATCACTATCTTCCCAGAGGAGCACCGATACTACAGTTCAAAAACTCCAACATATTTCCACCCCTTCCTTGAGAGTGCAGGCACTGTACTTCCAACCTCTAGGACTCAAGTCCAGCTAACAGGTTTCTTATTTTCACTATGTACAACAAACAACAAAACTTACTCTGTACTACTTTTTAATCCACACTTACCATCCTCCTTGACACATATTCATGGCAACTGATTCCAGACATCACCCCTTCCCAATCCTTCAAGTACTTCATCTACAAAGCATTCATACATACTCTATTGCACATTATATATACGTATACAAAACATCTGGGGGTGGACCTGTCAGTGAATGGGTCAATGAAAGATGATGTAAACCAAAGAATAGAAGAAAAGAAAAAGGTTGGTGGTGTACTGAGGCATATGTGGAGACAAAGCACTTTATCCATGGAGCCAAAAGGGTAGTGCACTAAAGGACCGTGGCACTAGCACTGTCATATGGGTGTGAAGCATTAGTTTCAAACATTGCAGCCAGGAGGAGGTTGGAGGCAGGGAAAATGCCATGTGTGAGGGTGAAGTATGGTGTGTCTTCTAAGGCAAGTGGTGGTGCCAAGAGGAAACATATGGTTCTCACTGTTAAGCAGAAATTTCAGCTTTTAAAAGTGGTTGAGTTTGGCATCTCAGTAGCACAAGTATGCAAGGAATATGGTGTTAAGGAACAGTGTATCATATCCATAGAAACAAGGTCAAACTAACAGACTATGTTCTGAAGTTCAGTGTAGATGCTGGTGGAGCTTTACAGCTCCTCTGATCCAGAATAGTTATTCTGAACCACTACTATCAATCTTGGAAGTTTATACATCATCCCTCCACCATAAAAAAAAGTTGCAACATGTGTCAAATTTATCAATGTGTCGGTTCTGTGAACCATTCATCAACAATCCTGTCAGACACTGCAACTTCTTGGGATCTTAATACTTGGGAATTCTTCGCTTGCCTAACCCTTGGGCAGGACCTACTTCCACATTGGACAAATGTGACACAACCTACGACTGCTGCACCTCTCCTGTCTACGGTTTATAAGCTGCTTCTCCGCTCATTTGCCGTATTCTATTCAAGATTGATGGACTGACCACATCGACTCAAGGCTGAGGGACTGATTACCTCATTCTCCTCCTGTTTTTCAAGTTTCTCCTTTGTATGGACTGATGAAGCCACTGTGTGGCGAAATGTTTCCTCAATAAAGATACCCAAGAGTTGCACATGTGTCTAATTTATCATCATAAAAAAAGTAAAATTACTATAAATTACATAAAAGAGAGCAAATGAGAGAGTGGGTGAGATGTGGGGGAAGTTCGTGAGGCAGTAGGTAAAATGAAAGGGGGTAAGGCAGCTGGGATTGATGGGATAAAGATAGAAATGTTAAAAGCAGGTGGGGATATAGTTTTGGAGTGGTTGGTGCAATTATTTAATAAATGTATGGATGAGGGTAAGGTACCTAGGGATTGGCAGAGAGCATGCATAGTTCCTTTGTATAAAGGCAAAGGGGACAAAAGAGAGTGCAAAAATTATAGGGGGATAAGTCTGTTGAGTACACCTGGTAAAGTGTATGGTAGAGTTATTATTGAAAGAATTAAGAGTAAGACGGAGAATAGGATAGCAGATGAACAAGGAGGCTTTAGGAAAGGTAGGGGGTGTGTGGACCAGGTGTTTACAGTGAAACATATAAGTGAACAGTATTTAGATAAGGCTAAAGAGGTCTTTGTGGCATTTATGGATATGGAAAAGGCATATGACAGGGTGGATAAGGGGGCAATGTGGCAGATGTTGCAGGTGTATAGTATAGGAGGTAGGTTACTGAAAGCAGTGAAGAGTTTTTACGAGGATAGTGAGGCTCAAGTTAGAGTATGTAGGAAAGAGGGAAATTATTTCCCAGTAAAAGTAGACCTTAGACAGGGATGTGTGATGTCACCGTGGTTGTTTAATATATTTATAGATAGGGTTGTAAGAGAAGTAAATGCGAGGGTCTTGGCATGAGGCGTGGAGTTAAAAGATAAAGAATCACACACAAAGTGGGAGTTGTCACAGTTGCTCTTTGCTGATGACACTGTGCTCTTGGGAGATTCTGAAGAGAAGTTGCAGAGATTGGTGGATGAATTTGGTAGGGTATGCAAAAGAAGAAAATTAAAAGTGAATACAGGAAAGAATAAGGTTTATGAGGATAACAAAAGATTAGGTGATGAAAGATTGGATATCAGATAGAGGGAGAGAGTATGGAGGAGGTGAATGTATTCAGATATTTGGGAGTGGGACGTGTCAGCGGATGGGTCTATGAAAGATGAGGTGAATCATAGAATTGATGAGGGGAAAAGGGTGAATGGTGCACTTAGGAGTCTGTGGAGACAAAGAACTTTGTCCTTGGGTGTGAAGCATGGGTGATGAATGTTGCAGCGAGGAGAAGGCTGGAGGCAGTGGAGATGTCATGTCTGAGGGCAATGTGTGGTGTGAATATAATGAAGAGAATTCGTAGTTTGGAAGTTAGGAGGAGGTGCAGGATTACCAAAACTGTTGTCCAGAGGGCTGAGGAAGGGTTGTTGAGGTGGTTTGGACATGTAGAGAGAATGGAGCGAAACAGAATGACTTCAAGAGTGTATCAGTCTGTAGTGGAAGGAAGGCGGGGTAGGGGTCGGCCTAGGAAAGGTTGGAGGGAGGGGGTAAAGGAGGTTTTGTGTGCGAGGGGCTTGGACTTCCAGCAGGCATGCGTGAGCGTGTTTGATAGGAGTGAATGGAGACAAATGGTTTTTAATACTTGACGTGCTGTTGGAGTGTGAGCAAAGTAACACTTATGAAGGGGTTCAGGGAAACCGGCAGGCCGGACTTGAGTCCTGGAGATGGGAAGTACAGTGCCTGCACTCTGAAGGAGGGGTGTTAATGTTGCAGTTTAAAAACTGTAGTGTAAAGCACCCTTCTGGCAAGACAGTGATGGAGTGAATGATGGTGAAAGTTTTTCTTTTTCGGGCCACCCTGCCTTGGTGGGAATCGGCCAGTGTGATAATAATAAAAAAAAAAAATTATATGTAAAGCAGTATAATATAGTATCCTGCAATACTGGAATACTATAGGTTAAAAGATCCATATTCTTAAGTGTCTGGTTGTCTTCTGAACCAGCAGGCCATGTCCTTTAGGTCAAAAGCTAAACAGACAATCATGAAAAATTAATTTTATAATTCAATCATAAAAAAGTAATTTCATAATTTGGACATTTGGCAGTATTGTACACCCCCCTCCTCCCTCTTAGTCCATTAGAGGGTTTACTGTACATTTATGTGATAAGCCTTTTAAAATGCCTAACCTTTACCAATGTGAAAGATAACCCTGCGTCTTATTTTATACAGCTCACAGCAGACCAGTGATGCTGTGGTCTGGCAATTTGTGGCTCATGACCTAGTAGTGGTCTACTCTAAGAAGCAATGACCTTAACCACTTGATTATGTATATGAATTATTCATGCTGAATTGTCCCACAAAATTTAAATTAGCTATATTTTATAATCCATATTCAAATACTCGTTTGTATTAAGTACTGTAACTTATAAACCCTTGAGTTAACAGACTTCAGAAATGCAAGACAAAATCTATTGGGCCAATAATTCAGAACCAATGGGAAAGTCTGTTGCTGTAGAATTATCTGTTAATGTTATGATAACAGCAAAAAAATGTCATCTCTATCTACCATAAATGGCATTATCAGCCACCTGCTTTACCCCTTTCCTAACAGTCCTTTAACTTGAAGGTTTACCATTCAAGTTTTAGTCTGTCCACAAAAATAAACAAATTAAAGAAAAATATGTCATCCCAGAGCTCTGTCATCACCCTGTAATTCTTGGAAATAAAAGTTGACACTGAATTCGATATTTAGGGGAAAGTGCTAAAACTGTAAGAGTCAGTGCCTCGGATATAGAAAGCAATGAGATTCAATCCAAGGAAAGAGAGGATAGCTTCACTTTTGTGGATCAAAACCCCCTTCACCAGCATTAAGGCCCCTCCCATATTTAAAGGAATTTGAAGGTATAGGACAGCTTAAATCAAAGTCCAGTACCTTCTTGAGATGTGCTCTCAGTCTTGCCAGATGTACACATGGTCCTGAGGCTGACCCGAGACAAACACAGGGGAAAAAATCTTCCTCCTCTTCCCAGTGCAGTAATCATGGCTCTTAACTCAGGAATTAAATTTACTATAAAACATACACCTTCTTATTCTGAAAAGTAAAGGTTCCATTTAGTTTATGATACTACTACAACTATGTATCATGTCCAAATAAAAAATAAATAAATAAAATAAAAATTAACAATTCTGTCAGGATGATTATAATGAAGGGGACATGCCAAACACATTGGGTCATAAAGAACCTTGAGAATGGAAAGTAATCCAGTTTAACATGAGAAAGGGAAGAGTAGATTCGATTCCTGACACCATCAGGGCACCCACCTCGAAGAGTCAATTCCTTAGGTTAAAAGCCCTACCTTATATCAAGGCACCCTCTTGATTTAGTGACATATGCACAGTGAGGAACATATTAATGGTAGCATGTTCTGTTAACACAAAAACTATATTACTAATTATTTTTTTTTTTATTATCACACTGGCCGATTCCCACCAAGGCAGGGTGGCCCGAAAAAGAAAAACTTTCACCATCATTCACTCCATCACTGTCTTGCCAGAAGGGTGCCTTACACTACAGTTTTTAAACTGCAACATTAACACCCCTCCTTCAGAGTGCAGACACTGTACTTCCCATCTCCAGGACTCAAGTCCGGCCTGCCGGTTTCCCTGAACCCCTTCATAAATGTTACTTTGCTCACACTCCAACAGCACGTCAAGTATTAAAAACCATTCGTCTCCATTCACTCCTATCAAACACGCTCACGCACGCCTGCTGGAAGTCCAAGCCCCTCGCACACAAAACCTCCTTTACCCCCTCCCTCCAACCTTTCCTAGGCCGACCCCTACCCCGCCTTCCTTCCACTACAGACTGATACACTCTTGAAGTCATTCTGTTTTGCTCCATGTACTAATATTAATACTGCTAATACAGTGGACCCCCGCTTAACGATCACCTCCAAATGCGACCAATTATGTAAGTGTATTTATGTAAGTGCGTTTGTACGTGTATGTTTGGGGGTCTGAAATGGACTAATCTACTTCACAATATTCCTTATGGGAAAAAATTCGGTCAGTACTGGAACCTGAACATACTACTGGAATGAAAAAAGTTCGTTAACCGGGGGTCCACTGTACTAACACTACTACTACTAATACTATAACTACTACTACTCATACTATTGCTAATTCCACTAATAATATTAATACTAATAATACATACTAATACGTATACTACTACAGTGGACCCCCACCTCACAATCAGCTCCCAACTCGAACAATTATGTAAGTGTATTTTTGTAAGTGCTTTTGTACGTGCATTTTTGGGGGTCTGAAACGGACTAATCTAATTTACAATATTCCTTATGGGAACAAATTCGTTCGGTAACGGCACCTGAACAGACTTCTGGAATGAATTAATATCGTAAGTCGGGGGTCCACTGTACTACTACTAATAATAATGGAGGACTAAGCCCCTAGGGGTCATACAGTGCCTGGTGGAAATGAAAGACTTGATTAAAGAATTGGAGCATGGGTCCAGTTTCTAAGATCAAGAGTCCCTCAGTAGCATCAAGGAACCTTCCTTGATGAGTGAGTGGAACCCAGCATGAGGTGTTATGTATGGGCAAGTCTTGTTCTTCTTCAGGTAGGTAGGTAAGTAGGTAGGCAACTAGGTAAGTGGGTAGGTAGGAAAGTAGGTAGGTAAGTAGGTAGTTAGGCATCTAGGTAGGCAAGTAAGTAGGCAAGTTTATTCAGGTACAGGTACACATAAATATGGTTACATAAATTATCATACACAGCAGCATATGTGTAGATTACCCTCCGGGGTAACCACCCAAAATAGTCAAAGTGACTACATATTTTCCCTGGGGTTCTTGTAGTATCTTATTATTTAAACCCTAAAAGTTAAAAATATAAGTAACTATGTGAAACGCAGTTACAATAAAAGGAGATATACCGGGTTATTTACAGTAACATGAAAGAGGATCAGATCACAGTAATAGGTATGTTACAGTAATTATTATAATCACGGGGGAGCAATAAACCCGTAGGATTATACAGGTTACAGTAATAGGTACATGTATGTTAGCTATACAAGAAATCACTCTTCCTTTCTGTAGCTTCATTCATAATAATAATAATAATAATAATAATAATAATAATAATAATAATAATAATAATAAACCTTTATTTTCTACATGTACAAGGTATATAGACCATAGCTGACATGATTATTATTATAAAGGAGAAGCGCTAAACCCGTAGGATTATACAGCACCATAGCTGACATCAATGACATACTACTATATAGAAAACCACTTGTTATGCTGAGCATTTCCCGCAAATTAGGTCAATTTTGTCCCAGGATGCGACCCACACCAATCCACTAATACCCAGGTACCTATTTTACTGATGGGTGAACTGGGGCAGGTGTCACATGGAAACACGTCGTAATGTTTTTCAGCCGTATCGGGGGATCGATCCGTGGACCTCAGTGTGTGAGTTGAGTGCGCTAGCCATTGGTATGTAACTAGGTAAGTACGTAGGTAACTAGGTAAGTGGGAACAATGGACCTTAAGGTTGCTGTTGGGGTTATTCAGGACCACCGTAGCTGGCGCTTTATTATGGCCTTCCACATGGGAGTCGGGGGAAAAATGTCAGCCAAATCTTAGCAGGAATTAAAAAGTACATAAAGTTGTTCCCGGAAATAGAAATGGGAACATTAAATTCCCAACTTAGATCAAATAGAGCCCAGTTGTGAGCCAGGTGGCTAAAGCTCCCGCTTCACACACGGAGGGTCCGGGTTCGATTCCCGGCGGGTGGAAACATTTCGACACGTTTCCTTACACCTGTGGAACTGTTCACCTAGCAGCAAATAGGTACCTGGGTGTTAGTCGACTGGTGTGGGTCGCATCCTGGGGGACAAGATTAAGGACCCCAATGGAAATAAGTTAGACAGTCCTCGATGATTCATTACCTTTGTAACTTGTGAGTTCATTACCTTGTACCTAGTTCAGCCATCAAAACTTTGGAGCCCGGTCCCTGGACCCATTGTGTACCTCTGTAATCTGTAAATACCTTTGTAACTTGTCATGATTGTGACTAGACCTACCTGGAGTTCATTACCTTTGTAAATTGTGAGTTCATTACCTTTGTAAATTGTGAATTCATTACCTCTGTAACTTGCTCAGCTATCAAAACTTTGAGGCCCAGTCCCTGGACCAATTATGTACCTCTGTAATCTTTTGACTACCGCCCACAGGATGGGTATGGGGTGCATAATAAACATATTAAACTTAAACTCGATGACGCACTGACTTTCTTGGGTTATCCTGGGTGGCTAACCCTCCGGGGTTAAAAAACCGAACAAAATCTTATCTTATCTTATCTTATCTTACATCATAATTTGTAATATTTTAAAATAAAGAATTAAACTAAGTCTGCCCGAAATGCCTAGCCATGCTAGGCGTTCTAGTGGTACACTCTGTAATCATTATTTAACTACATGTAAACCACACAACAACCAAATTCTGTAAATTCAACATTGTAATCTTTATAGAGAATAAACTTTGAATTTGAATTTAAGTTAGATAAGTTAGTAAGTTTGTTCAGGTATAGGTACACATAAATACAGTTACATAAATATTTCATATATAACAGCACATGTGTAGATTGGCTAAAATAACCCAGAAAAGTCAGACAAAGTAACTGATCGACACCATGCCTAACCCTTCTAGGGTAGGGTAGGTGCCTGAGCCCGAGCCTTTAGCTCATAAGACTGTCATTCCCATTTGCCCCCTTGTGGCGGGGATGGCAGACCAGAGAGGCCTAGCTTGTGGCTAGGCCTGGGGACAGTTGGTCCCAAAGATGAGGAGGTACTTGTGGCTCCTCCCATGGGAGACTTAGGTCTCAGACACTCCCTAAAGAGGGAGCCAAGGCCGGGCCACCACTTGGAAAAGGCCCGGGCCGGGAGAATACCGGCGAATCTTTAATAATAATAATAATAATAATAACAAAGTAACTTATTTCTATTAGGGTCCTTGGGCATAAGTTTGTTTAATAAGTAAGCTTATTTAGGCATGGGTACACAAGTACAATTATCATAAATGGTGTTAATTACCTCCCGATAAATTCAAAGTGACTTATTTCCATTAGGGTCCTTGATTACCATTTAGGTACAATTACACAAGTTTTAGGTGATTTCAATTGTCTTACATAGTTTACCTGGAGTTTTACCTGGAGAGAGTTTCGGGGGTCAACGCCCCAGCGGCCCGGTCTGTGACCAGGCCTCCTGGTGGATCAGCCCCTGATCAACCAGGCTGTTGCTGCTGGCTGCACGCAAACCAACGTACGAGCCACAGCCCGGCTGATCAGGAACTGACTTTAGGTGCTTGTCTAGTGCCAGCTTGAAGACTGCCAGGGGTCTGTTGGTAATCCCCCTTATGTGTGCTGGGAGGCAGTTGAACAGTCTCGGGCCCCTGACACTTATTGTATGGTCTCTTAACGTGCTAGTGAACCCCTGCTTTTCATTGGGGGGATGGTGCATCGTCTGCCAAGTCTTTTGCTTTCGTAGTGAGTGATTTTCGTGTGCAAGTTCGGTACTGTCCCTCTAGGATTTTCCAGGTGTATATAATCATGTATCTCTCCCTCCTGCGTTCCAGGGAATACAGGTTTAGAAACCTCAAGCGCTCCCAGTAATTGAGGTGTTTTATCTCCGTTATGCGCGCCGTGAAGGTTCTCTGTACATTTCTAGGTCAGCAATTTCACCTGCCTTGAAAGGTGCCTGGAGTTTACTGGAGTTTACCTGGGGAGATTCGGG